CTTCAATTTACTTCGATGCAAAAGGACTCGTCCTTTCAACAAAAGAGAAAAGGGGTGGTAAACATTCGAGTAAAACAATGCAAAGACGGTTAGGAAATAACAAAAGAGAAGACACCAATATTTTGCCAAAGGAACTAGAGGTATTTCATGACTATAAAGTTGTAACAGAAAGGTGGAGAAAGATAAGACTATCACTTGAATGATGACAGGTCAGCATTCATTTTTTTTCTTTTGATAATAAAGAACCATTCATTAAAAAGAGAGAGAATACAAGAAAGGAAGGTGAACCAAGCAGAGAAACGCTAATGAGAGACATCTCTAACCCTCCCCCTCGAACATCTCCTCCTGCCCAACATCTGCCTCATTCCAGACCTCTCCCCCTTCCCCAACTGACATGTTTTTCAGACTCTCAGACTCTCTTTCCTCCTCTCAACTCTTTGATTGCTCTTCTAGCAAAAGCCTCGTCACCCAAAAAGAACAAACCAAGAGTTTTGCCAACTTCAACAATTTTCTCAAGAGTCAGACAACCTACCTTTCCACTTTTTTTCTTCCAAAGATCTTTCCCACTATTCTTCTCTTGAGATGGATTCACCATTTAATCATCCGAACTAATGGCGTCCAGTGCCTCTACCCAACCTGGGTTCTCTGACATCAACACTCTTATCCTCTTCCCTTTTCTCTTATACGCTCTCTTATAGTTTTTTGTAGGACCTGTCCCAACCAATCCAAGATTCAGACGTAAAAATATTTAGTAACGTGAACAATATGTGTGTTGTTTGATGCTTCTTAGGAACTGCCAAATCGACAACAATCTCAGATTTTTTTCCTCTATCTTCCTTCTGTGACTCAGATCAACATCTAATGTGCCAATCACAACTTCCTCAATCAAGGAATTAACAACAAGAGAAGTCTTGTCCAAAGAGCAGCACCTAGCATCTCCCTCTCCGGCTAATATCTAGACCTAGAAATTAGGTTGGATGGGTTGGGTTCGGGTTGGGTCAAGACACTTCGGGTTGAATTGAATTTTAGGTTGGGTTAGCAAATGCTAGACCCTAACCCTAAATGTTCATGTTAGGGTTGACCCAAGGGTCAATACGGGTCAACCCTAAAAATAATTGGAATTTCAAAAAATAAAGGAAAAATACATAAAATTTCAAAATTAAAGGAATTAACTTATTAACCTTAAAATTGCAAAGATAAAAAACTTTAAATTTCAAAGAGTAAAGATTAATGAGTGAAACCTTCTAACAATACATAAATAGTCCCAATTAGACCTTACAATCAAGTTAGTGGGTTGACCCATGACCCAACCCAGTTTTTTCCCAGGTTGGGTTAGATCAAGGCCATTCTCAAATTTGGATAGTTAGATATGAGACCCTAACCCTGTTTATTTGTGTTGGGTTGGGTCAGGTTCGCAGGTTGGGTCAACTTTTTGTTAGGTCTAGTTGTATCCATTTCAAAAACATTAGGTAAATGTCTTGTACTTTCTCAAGATCGTCATCCCCATCCCCAAGACCAAGCTCCACCCCAACAACCTCCTCCTCTAGGCCACATTGAGCCAAAAAAGCAATCTCAAGACAATGAAATATCATTCTAGAAAAATAGCACTCTAAACACTTTCCTGATCCTAATCCCCAAAAGAGCAATCATCTGAAGAATCTTTCTGACCACTTTTGTTATCCACATGTTCCTCTTCAATGGTTGCACTATTCCTCTTTCCATCTCTATTGTAGTTGGTAATCGCCCAAACTCACTTTTCTTCCTTTCCCTTTTGCACCTTAGAAGATTTAGCTCAAACCGACTCCCCAAGCTTGTTAATCTTGAATCGCTTGGAAATACCAAATCTCCTCTTATCCACCAGTAGCTTAGTCAGACAATTAACACATCTATTCTTATTGGTTCAGGTTTTTAAGTCTTCGAGGGTTCAATACAGCATTTAGCAATGTTTGTGTTGATTAAACCCTAATAAATAAGAAAATAATAAAAAGAAATTAGTATATAAACACACAAAATGATTATTTTAGTTTAATAATATCTATTTTATAATTATAATCTCAAAAAAGAATGAATAAAAAAGTTTTTATAGTAGGAAGTAGAAAACTGTTAGGCGATTAGGCGAGGCGAGCCTCAAAGGGCGCCTCGTTGCCTAGGCGTCGCCTTGACAACTATGCATTCTAATGGGCCTCCCTCTCTCCACACCTCTTCGATTCCCAACTTGCCATCCTCTTTAGAGAAAACTTTGTTCAAAATACTCAAACTACCCTCGTCTTCAACCTAGGAACCATCCTGTTCAAATTGACCCCTCAATTTCTCAACAGATTCAGCAGCCTCCTAAGGACTTTTCCTATTCTCTTCCTTCCACAACTCCAAATTATCAACTCACCTCATTGAATAAGATCCTTCAACAACAAGTCTTAGATCATAGTTCTCTCCAGCAAAGTGAAGTGATAAGGACGAAGGCACCGAATGTATTTCAAAAATTTCCACCAAAATGCGCATAGCAACAACGTCTTCCATGAACTCATTCTTGAATTAACATATCTAAACCTGCCACAAGCTTCTCCCAAAGCTTTAAACGTCTGAAAACACCAGGTGTACAAAAGGAATCCCAAAAATATTAGTCCAAAGCAAACTTGATGGACCCAAACCTCTAACCACACCAACCAAAGGATTCCATCACCCAAGCCTTAATTCAAGAGAATGAGAGACTCACATTGTTGTCAAATCAAAGTTTCAATTCAATGCTTCACCCTCATTGTCAAAGATAAACAAGAAGAGACCAGCATTCAACTTATTGACCTGAAACGAACTACTTGGATGCCAAACATCAACTGCCCAATCATCAACTATCCTATCCCTAGCGGCCTCCTTGTCTGAATCAGAATTAACAAACAAACAACCAAGCTCCTCCCCAGTAACCTCAAACACCCAAAGACGCCATCAATCAAATTCACAAACACCTCCCTCATCGTAGATCCTAACACCTAATGAGTAGAGATCCTAACACTCCAAAAAACTCTCATGGGCCTTCAAAACCTCTTCCCTCGAAGGTGGTACAAAAATAAAAACCACATCTGCTGTTAGATGTTTGTCAGATAGTAAACTTCAAGTTCAAACATCTTCTGGTAGGTGTTGGAAAAACTTCACTTGTTCATCTGATTTTTAAAGGTTCTTCTATTGCTTGCCCTCAAACAATTGGATGTTCAGTTAGTGTAAAGGTGAAGACTGACTTTTCTTCACGTTGCTAAGGCAATTTGGAGCTGTACCTGTAACCTAGAAATTGTGATTATTTTTTTCCTGCTTCTCTGTCCAGCACTTCACTTATGGAAGTTCAGGTAATTCATCTAATAGCATTAAAGGTAATACAAAGGGGTTCTTTGTTGAACTTTGGATGTATCAGCATCCATGCTCTTTTTTTATAGGGAAAATCTATGATGCGGGAAAGATATGGTATGGGAAGAGTTTTGACCAATCAAAACCCACCCATGAATTTTGATAAATAACACCTTATCCGCTACCATGTTTATGATTCCAGTTTATTGGTCAGTTGTTTTTCAGATATCATATCATTTCGATATCATGGTCGAACCCTTTTTTATAAGAAAAGAGATCATCTCTCATGAACTACCTTGTCCATTCCATGTTTCCCAAAGATTTAAGGTGCTGAGATGCCGAAGCAATGCATAAAAGGAATACTGTGCAGGTAGGAATGTGACAAAGCACCCCTAATTTGCACTAGTTACTGCTCCCACCCTTTACTTTACCATCCTTTCTTTGTTAGAAGTTCCCCCTTGGGGATTCAAACACTAAAAGAGCTGATCTCGCCCTACTCCCTGCCTTGCTAGTGCACCAGCCACACTATTAGCTAATCTTGGCCTCCATCTGTGTTTGACTCCCAACTGCCTTCTTTTTATTAGAAATTGACTCCCAACTGCCTTGCCATCTTTTTAATGACCTGAACTTCATATCTTTAATGCCATGACCCTGTACTGTCATTTAAGAGCCATCCTACAGGAACATGGGAGTCACCTTCAACCATCAGATTTCTAAAATTAATGAGATAAGCATTTCGGGATGGCAGATACTCTAGCTAAATAAGGAGCTATTAGGCATCAAATGTTTTGGGCAAAGATGTAAAGTTTTGTTGTTTGGGGTGGAGAATAATCCCACCCATTGTAATCTTAAATTTGGTTTTAATAAAATCTTTTCTTATTGATCGGAAAAAAATCAAAGAGATCATCCAGCATGTGGAAGAAATGAAATATAACAATGAAATGTTTTTACTTTTCTTTCTACCAGTAAAGTACCTCGTTTTCCTTATCACAAACCATGTTTCCAAACCTAGAAATTGTTAATTTCTTGATAGATGACAGAAATATGACAGTTAAAGAAGTCAAAAGCACCAGTGTTTTATCAACCCTGATCACTAATTGCTTATGTCTAATATACAGAATTGCATGTTCGGGGTCATCTCGACATTGTTAGCCATGCTCCCAACAGTGTGACTCTAGGTGCAGTATATTGTATGAAACATTGGTACTACATGAAACTCTAGGACTTGATGAATTAGCATCCAATGGAAGTCTCTTTTTCCTCTCAAACTATATGGCCTATAGAATGGACAACCAGCATATCTTTCCTTCCTTAGACATTCCCAGAATCTGCCATTCTCCCGAAGGTGCTTTCAAGGTACTTGGAAAGCACCAGTATAAGTTTAATGTCCTGATAAAATGGTCCCAAAGAGCTGCACTAAAGCATCACTGTAAGAACAAATGACTTGAAGTCGTTATGTATGTGTGTGTGTGATAGCATGTGGTTGGCTGAGTTGACACAGAGTTGACCAGACAAGAACATCAAATAATTGTTTGCTCACTAGTAGCATGTCAAAGCTCTGCAACATATTCATATTTCATAATATTTCCATTTATGGACACTTATTCTCAGGCAAACAAATTTAAGTACAGAGACAAGAATCCAAAGAATGTTAAACCAGATCTTACACTCCAAGTACAAGTCAATAGCACGGGCCAGATGTTTTATCCCAGGCATTTCTCCCAGCAGTGAAACAAGGGGAGAAAACGTCATGCTGATGACATCCGGTGCCAAATTAACAGTTTCTAACCATTTGGCATGGCTCTGTACAAGATCGTCCCCTCCTCTTCTCCTAAAAATGACAGTAACATCCTGAAACAAAAAGATATGTTCTGAGCATAAGAAATATCTTCAGATTTCATCCCAACATAATAATCGTATCCAGGAAAACAATGCACCAGAGTTAGTTATCAGAAGGGGATTACCAAAAAAAATATACGCCCAATACTACTTAGAGCTCAAAGTACATGCTCATGGCTAGCAATGAAGGCACAGTCAAAGCATGGGGAACAATGTATTTTGTCTAAGCCCAAAAACATGATCATTTTGGAATACTCAATGAGTATAGTACATCCGGAGTAATATTGACCACAACTGCAATGCTACCCATACAAGTTAGTCAAGCCTATCTTTTAATGTGTTGCCTTGAACATCATGGATCTGTGGTGAAGGACCCAGTTGTTAGTGTTTACTAAAAACAGGCAATACATTGGGCCCCATATGATGCACCAGATCCACGGTGTTCAAGCACCATTTTTATCTGTAGCAGTGAAAGTTTTATTTAATTTGATATAAAAGAATGTAGCAAGTACAATATGCCAAGGATCCCTTATGCATAGGCTGCCCATACCCCTATCCCATTCATTCTGTTTTAAAGTTACTCAAATTATATTCTTTTGCCCAAAAGCAATGCTCTGATTACAAATTTATAATTGAGGCCAATACTTTTCTGCCCTATTAACCCATTTGCCAATGTATGGACCCATTGGAAATTTGCCAACTCATTAGCTAGCTGCCCAATTTCTCTCATGACAAGTCTATACTCCTAACGTCATTTTTTTTTTTTTTGAGAAAGGGTAACAATTTCATTCAGCAAAAAGAGATGTACATGAGAGGATGCACACAGAAGTACAAGGCTTTACAACAAAAAACAAACCTTTCACACATCTGGAAATCTATCAGCATTATACCAAAAAAAAAACAAAGTCCTCTCTAGGGATCCATCTGAAACTGCAGCTTCGAAAGGAGGTGAGTTCGTTTATTTCAATAAGAAAATGGCCAAGTCACCAAAGGCTATTGTCTGAATTGGTGGCTTAGCCAATCATGTTCCTGGAATCTCCCTCAACAAATTCATTATTTTTCACCCCTCTCCACCCCTACTTCCCCTAGTAAATTTTCCAAATTGAGTGCTTTGACCACCCATAATGTTTGTAGCACTGCTTTCGATTCGGCTCTCAAAGAATCACAGTAGCATATTTGCCCTGAATATGATGCTATTATGGAAACTTATTCAGTTATTCCTTAACACCCCACCAATACCTGATGGCCTCTGGTTCTCCATGGAATAACCATTAACTCTTCTTTTGTGACTAGTCTTGGAAAATTCTTGAGTTTCTTTCCTCCCATATTGTCCATATTAGAGGCTTAGAGCTTCCCTTGTACTATACAAAATCTTCCCTCTGCTAGTTGGCAAAGAGATGAAAGAGGAGATGTATAGATCACCTCAATGGGCTCCAACCTGCAACCAAAGAGGGAGACAAACCATACCCATAAGGATGGAGTGAGTAGTTTCCTAATTTGCATTACACAAAACATTTGTAACAATTGAGGCACCAATTTGTTCTTCTTTTTTGCAGATAACCACAGGTGTTTATCTTCTCATGGTACACCTTCCAACAGAAAGCCCAAACTTTATGAGGCACCAATCCACTCCACATTTCTTTTACCGAAAAAAAGTTGTACCAACAAAGGCCGAAGAAATGGCAAGAAAGAAGGGAGCACAGTGCACAGATGAATATACCGAAAGGGTTGAATATCCATATTCTGCAATCCACTTTTGACATGTCAAAGAAAACTCCTATTAAGTTATCCAACAAATTTAAGGGCATTAACACTTCAAAATCCCTTAGTCCTCTCCAAAAAACAAAAATAGTGTCCTGGTTGGATAGAACAGCAAACTAGTTTTCAGTCAAGCCATATAGGATGACAGCGAAAAGAGGGTTGTGAAACACTCTTTCAATGGTCAAGCCATATAGGATCACCCACCCAAAGATCTTCCCAAAACTTTATTCTATTCCTTAAGCCTACATCAAGACAGATAAAGGTGATAAAAAGTGAGAGGAAACTGTGAATAGCTTTCCAGGGAAACATCAAGTTTTCTCTAATAGACACCCCATAATCCCATCTATTTAATAGATGCTGCCACCATCAAGGTTCGAAATTTTGATATGTATCAGACCGTATCGGTCGATACGTATCGTATCGGGGGCTTCCCAATACAACCCTACAGGGGGTGTTTCGGAGTTTAATCCGGTTCAGAGGGTAGACAGGCCTTAAACTGACCCCTCTGAACCAGGTTTACAAAAACTAAAAAAATAAGGGAAATGAGCTTCGATATAGTCCGATACACCCCTACCGGCGTATCGTCCGTATCGATATTTTGAACCTTGGCCACCATCTTTTTTATTGATAATTAACAGGAATTTCATTAATATGAAAAACTATATGTACAAATTTACATTCTGTTTTTACAGAGACCTAGACCTCTCCCCAATCATGTATATTACAACTTAGACCAGAACAAATGATCCCTCATAACCCCTTCTTTGGCTAAATTATCAGTCAGTCTCATAGAGTTAGCTGATCTTTAAACCCACTGCACTATAACTGCCATGCTTCTTCACAGTTCATCAACCATCCTGTTACCACCTTTGAATCCCCTTCCATTATTAATTCCTGTATATTCAGTTCTTTAGTTCTTGTGAGTAAATCCTAGTAGATTCTAGGTCAAAGTAAAGAAGAAGAAAGAAGAGAGAAAAGAGAAAGGAGAAGAAGAATGTTCGGCCAGACTAGAAGAGAGAATGTTCAAAATCACTTCCCTCATAGCCGACCCACTTGAATTTATTCAAAAACTTAGAATTACAAGAAAGACTACTTTGTCCCTCATAGAAGATGGKACACATAACTTAAACTCAGATACAATAGACCTTTCACTTACAAGAAGATAAACCAGAATGACCAAAATACCCCTGACTTGAGCATTCTAACAGTTCTCCTGACACCTTCCACTACAGCCATCACTGCTGGATGAAGGCCACCACCTTATGCCATAATTTATCAGAATCCAATGGAAGGTGTCTCAACCATTTACTTAGCATAGCACAATTTCTAAGCCTCAAACTCTGAACCCACAAATACCCTTGATCTTTTCTTCTAGCACAAGATCTAAGAACTGTAAACCATTCCCTGATAATGGAGTTAGTAGTAGCATCATTGAGAATTTTTAAACTCAGTAAATATATCTTATTAAGGTCAATTTATACACCATCTTGCAAGGTGTTTTTCTTGTCTTTTGAAAACTCTAGCATTTCTTTCTTCCAGGATACACTAAAAATTTGGCATGTACTAAGAATCTCCACATAATCCTACATCTAGTACATAGGGGCATTGTATATCACGATTCCCCATAAGTAGAATATTGAATACAAACAGCTCAACAAAAGTGGTTCCATATTGAAAATGCATAACTACAATAGATGAAGAAATTATTCACAGTCCCCCCCCCCTCCGCCATAAGATTGAAAGCAGCCTACAGAAATGAGGACATCAGACTTCACTTTCATAAACCTCTATTTCCTTTAGTATTTTCAATTATTAAAATGACTCAAATTATTGATCTTATGCCTCATAAGTTACCAGGCTACACAAAATCATGTCCAAGGTCATCATCATCATCATCCAAGCCTTATCTCAGCTATATGGGATCAGCCAGCCACATGAATCCTGTTTTGCCATTCCATTCTGTTTAATACCATACCCATTGTAAAATTATGGGCACATAAATCATCTCTTACTATTTCAACCCATGTCCTTCTTGGTATACCCCTAGCCCTTCTATCCACTTCAACTTGCAACAAGACCTATTCATGGGCCGGGCTTTGGACTCGGGCCACGAACATTTTACACTGCTTCTTTTCTTTCATTATCTTATTAAACAGCTTTGTTATTCATAATAAGCTTATCTTTCCCATACCTTTCCACACTTCTATTGGAATCTAATCGAGCCTTAACATGTTTCCCTTCTTCATCTTACTTGGCATCTCTTTCACTTCAATAGTTCTAATTTTACAAAAGTACATGTTATTTTTAACACTATTAGCATTACTAATCTCTCCTCCATTAGCATCCTCTACATGTTGTTCATTTAATAATTTCTCAAAATAGTTTTTCCACCTTTGCTTGATTTCCCCATCCTTTACGAAGACTCTTGATCTCCCCCTTTAATGCACCTAACATGCTTTAAATCTCTACCTCTCCTTTCTCTCATTTTTTTAGTTTATCAATTTCTTTTTCTCCCTATTTATTGCCTAACTTATGATAAAACTCATCATATGATTTATCAAAAAAAGTAAAACTCATCATATGTCCTAAATTCAATTTCACTTCCTTTCTTATGATTTTATATTTTTCCTGGTTTCTTGAATTTTAAGCATCTTTATTCTACACCTAAGTTTCTTTTAACATGCTCTTTATATAGTTGGCCATTTCAAGACATGTCATTAGTCTCTCCATCTAAATTCCATTTTCCTTCTACTATCAACCTATCTCTAAATTAAGCTAGTTTTTCTCCTTTTAGATTTTCTCACCTAATTCTTGGACACCTATTTCTCTTCCATTTCCAAATGCACACATCCACCACAACTAATTTATGTTGTGTGGTTAAGCTTTCCCTTGGAATAACTTTGCAATCCTTGCACATCATTTGTCCTACTCTCATAGCAAGGAAAAAATCTCAAGCTTTTCAACCTTGCCCCATTGGGAAGTTGGCTGTGGAGAATTTCATCAGAATCAAACAAACTCTGGAGGAAGGTGATTGAGGAGAAATATGGCTTAAGGAATAATGGATGGGATGCTGGTATTCCCTCTGGCACCTATGGTTGTGGGGTGTGGAAAGGAATTTGTAATGCTTACAGGCAGTTCAGCAGTGGTGTTAAATTTAAAGTGGGAGATGGAAGAAAAACTAGGTTCTGGTTAGACCAGTGGACTGGTGACAACACCCTAAGAGAGCTGTTCCCAGCCCTGTACAATGTGGCTGTAGATAAGGAAGCCTTAGTGGCCGATTCTCTGTGTCTCCAGGAAGGGAGGCTATGCTGGGTTCCTCCCTTCAGGAGAAGTTTCAATGACTGGGAAATTCAGCAGATGGCAGCTTTTCTTAACCTGTTACAAGATCAACAGCTAAGTTTTCAAGAGCAAGATTCAACAGTTTGGAAATGGTCAAAATCCGGAGAATTCACAGTCAAATCCTTCTACAATTTTCTGGTGGGAAGGTCTGAAGCCCCTTATCCCAGCAAGGCCATTTGGGGGAACTTGGCTCCTCCAAAAATCAAGTTTTTTTTGTTTGAGTGGCAGCTCTGGAGAGGTGTTTGTCCAAAGAAATGCTGCGGAATAAAGGTCTTAATCTGCCAGATTGGAGGTGATGTTTTTGCAATATGCAAATGGAAGCTTCTGGGCATCTCTTCCTTCATTGCAAGTTTAGTTCTGCAGTATGGGCACACTTCTTCAAATCCCTGAATCTAAGCTGGTGCATGCCAGCCTCAGTTAGAGCTCTGCTAGAGGAGTGGCATATTCAGGGGCTGTCGACGAAAGGAAAGTTATGCTGGGCTTCCATCCCTCCAGCAGTTATGTGGGCTGCGTGGTCAGAAAGGAACAACAGGATTTTTGAGAAAAAATCTACTACTGAAGCTGAGGTCATTAACTTGGAAATAGAGGTTTTGAGAAGTTGGATGTCTATACATAATGATTTTAGAGATAGTATATCCGATTATAACTTTTTGAGGATGGCCTTGTTTTGAGGTCCTTCATTTTGTACAGCTTCTCTTTGTACACAGGACCTTATATTAATACAATCATACTTTACCTTCTTTCAAAAAAAAAAGGAGAAAATCTATTTGACTTATGTTTGATCCACTTTTAAAATCATGTCCTAGGTATGAATACATAATTTGTTGAACCTATCAAAAAAATACATAATTTATTGAAGTTCTTATCTAATATCAATACCATGTCATGCTAATTATTTTGATGATTCTTAATAAAAGTTCAATTACTTATCAAAAAAATCAAATACCATGCCAAGACAATCCTCTCAAATACAGAAGGGAATAATGATTATTTACCTCTTTACCACTTATAGATGGAACAGTAGAAAGGTGAGGATGTATTTCTCGGCTGTTAAAATAAGATGGATCTTCCACCTGAACATTTGGAGATATTCAAAAGCTAGTATCATCAGTTGTAACTATTTATTGTTGCATATGATACAAATAGTATCTGAATGGAACAGAAGTAACAAAAAGTGAATTACAACATAAAAACTAGCCTTGTATTTTGCCAGAGCACTATGCTGGTTTTCCAAGTCAAATCTCTGATTACTGATTTCTTTGAGGTATTGGTTAAATTCCATTGCTGACAAAGGAGATGATTGGTGCTGCTTGACATAAACTACATCTCTACCACCAATTGTTGCAGAAGTAATGACATGGGTACCAAAATTTTCAATAAAGCTGAAACAGAATACCATTGGAAATGCTAATTAGAAAATGGAGTGAAGCTTTTGCAATAATTTTTTTTTTTGATAAATAACATCAATTCCATTAAAATAATGAATAGATACAAGAAGATCCCCTTAGAGGCGCGAGGAGCAGCCTCTCCAAACAGCAAATACACAAACTACAACAGAGAAAACATGAATGTTGAAATTAAAACAATAGTTACAATTATGCCC